CCATCACCATCTCTATGGTTAAATTTCACCTTCACATTCAGAGGGGTGCACCAGTCTGCTGAGAATCACGTTGGAAATTTTCATTTCCATTCTCGTGGTGAGACACAAAAACCCCAGGAGAATTGCTGGGGAAAAAAAATCACTCCAACTTTTCTTTTTTGCGATAAAATAAAAATAATTTCAAATTGCAGTCGGAGAATGTCTTCTTGGTATTATGCTCGTGGGGACGGGGTAATGGCTGATTTTACTATCGAGGAAATTCTGATGGCAAGATGAAGTCCAAGTATCAATACTCTGGCTTATTTACTTCGACAATGAAATCTCCTTTTTCTCTAGATCTACTCTTCTGGGTTTTAAACTACTTTAGCGTCCTTTGATGGTTACTCCCTGTATTTTGCATTGGGGATGGGACTTTGATGATGTCTCGGGGAAGGGAGAATGGTAGAGAAATGGACATGAACAATGAAGTATGGATTTCTTTTATCTTTCGGTGTCGTAAAATGGTGCATCGACTTCTGGGGATATGACATTGGGATACGGAATGGTGATAAGGGTTTGAATCTGTTGCAATGTCCGTGAAAGTCAGAATGGGATATGGTTGGGGTCTAAAGGGGTCAAAGTATGGTGGGTTTCGCATTGTGTGGGGGTCAGAATTACATATGACATATTTTCAACGGTCATGAGGATTTTGCAACAGGGGGGCCGAGCCCCCTCGACCCTCTTTGAGCCGTAATTTTTGAAGATCTGAATTTTATATGCTTTATGAATTAATTTACAAAAGCCAGAATCTCAATATCTGGTATTGGTAAGGAGCTTGATGAGGTTCAGGAAGGCCGTGAGGGTCAGGAAGGTTATGTAGAGGGCCTATTGGGATCATGTGGCGGTTACATGGAGGTCTTATTGGAGTCATATGGAGGATCATGAAGATAAAACATGGGGGGCTGAGGTATTCGTGAGGAGCTTGATGAGGTTCAGGAAGTCCATGAGGGTCAGGAAGGTTATATGGAGGTCCTATGGGGATCATGTGGCGGTCACATGGAGGTCTTGTTGGAGTCATATGGAGGATCATGAAGATAAAACGAGATGGGGGGCTGAGGTATCTATAAGGAGCTTGATGAGGTTCAGGAAGTCCATGAGGGTCAGGAAGGTTATATGGAGGTCCTATGGGGATCATGTGGCGGTCACATGGAAGTCTTATTGGAGTTATATGGAGGATCATGGAGATAAAACGACATGAGGGGGCTGAGGTATTCGTAAGGAACTTGATGAGGTTCAGGAAGGCCATGAGGGCCAGGAAGGTTATACGGAGGTCTTATGTGGATCGTGTGACCGTCACCTGGAAGTCTTATTTTATCATGTGGGGCATCATAAGGATAAAATAACAGGAGGGGGGCTGAGCCCCCCAATCTTGCATGATCCATAGTTTCTAAGAATGTAAATCGTATATATTTAATACATTTTTAAGAGTTTGAAACTCATGATTCAGTATTAATAAGGAGTTCGATAAGGGTCGGAAAGGTCGTAATAAAGATTTGATAAGCGTCAGGAGGACTATTGAGGCTACATGGGGGTTATTTGAAGGTCTTACGCGAGTCATAAGGTTATATAAAGATCATATGAGGGCACGAATTCCTCCCAAAAAACGTCTTTCAACATTTCCTCTTAAAAACAATTAAACATGAAAAAAAAATTCACTGCGTCTTCCTTCAAAGAAAAAACTATACTCCTAACCCGTTAAAAAACTTCTTATCCCCGAGGCAAACTCTTCATCCCCCTGAATATTCCACACTCCTGATCGCCCACCAAATCCCCCATTAATTAAAAACCTCTCGACCGCCTTCCGACTATGAAAAAAAAACCCACGATCCACAGAGAAAAATCATTTCAAAACTTCGATTGCTCCTTTTTTCCCCGCGTCTAAAACGAGTCTTAGATAACTACTCCCCTCTCCCCTCCCCTCACTCTCCCCCCACAGAAGAAAAATGTGGAAAAAATCTGGCGGAAGTGTCCTAAAAAAAATAGAGAATCAAAGATAAAAGTTTTCACAAGTTGTGCCCAGTGAGATTCTTCACATGACGTTCTCTCTCCACCACTGAATAAAAATGTGTAGAAGTGAGTGCGACTTGTGCCATCTCCTTGGCATACGGTACATCCTAAGGAGGAGTGGGCGTGTCCTATACTTTGAACTGTGTGAGGGAACACGTTTGGGGGGTTGGTGAGGGTGAGGGGGCGTGAGGAGTGAAAAATAGAGAAAAAATATATAAACACATGTGCACACAGTGCAGATTTTCTTTCCGATATAGATAGGGAGACGAAGGTAAAAGGTAAAATGAGGGCGTCGCAGTGGATGGTACCCCCTGCAATGGCTCTGCACAGAGGGTAATACATTGTCGGACCCAAGGGGTTTGTAGAATCCACTTAAATCCACCATGATTTAGTTAGGCTCCCTCTGTACATTCACGCTGGTACATGTACATTGTGCCGGGGGGGGGGGG